CACTCATGCATTAAGGTCATACCCTTATTGACGAGAGAGAAAAAATGTTTTTAGGTGTCAGCAAACCTTTTCACTCCAGTCTTCCCTATTGGCCTCCTTTACTTCTTCTGTTGCCTCCTCCGTGTTCTCGGACTCCTGACACCTCCTTGGGATGCCTCTCATTGCCTGTTGCTCTTCCCCCTTGACGGCTGCCTGCTGTTGCTCAGGCTTTCTGACACCCTCCCTATATTCCCCACCCAGACTGCTGCAGAGTGTTTTCTGATTTCCCCAGAATTCTCTGTGCTCATACAGGAAAGTGTCTCATAAAATTTTTATGATGCCCTATTTAGGCAGCTCCAAAATGGAAGGGGAAATTGTGACTTTGAGTAAAGGCCATGGTAGGAACGATTGTGGTTCTCCCCCATGGCACACAGACTTTGCTAGCATCACCTGCAGTAGGAGATTTGATTTAGCAGTATGCATTGGCAAAACATTACATGGGGTAGCTAGGTGGCGCAGTGGATAGAGCACCAGCCCTGGAGTCAGGAGGACCTGAGTTCAAATGTGACCTCAGACACATAACACTCACTAGCTGTGGGACTCTGGGCAAGTCACTTAACCCCAATTGCCTCAGATATAATAAAAAAAATTAAAAAACAAACAAAACTACTACGTGGTCAAGATGTATCTATAAATTTAGATTTCTAATAAGTTGTTATTGAGTTGCTTGGGTTTGGGAAAAAAAAGCATTTTCTTTTTCCTAAAGAATAATCTAAACTTTCACGATATACCAAATACTTTCTTGTGTTTAGGAATTGTTTCAGTAAATGTTATCCAGATGAATAATTCCTGGTGATTGCTTCAGAACCATGGTGAGCAGACTATAGGCACCCCCTTCCCCCACTCTAAGGGTGAAGGTTCAAGGAAAGTCTCATGAGTTCTCACAGAAGTTTTGAACAGGTTTGAACAATTTACCATTGTCTTTCTGCTTGTTATAAAATTTTAAGAAACCTGATCCCCACGTTATTCCCCTCAAATCTTTAATGACTTAATAGCTGTCCTGCAGTAAGTGTATAGTTTCAATTCAAACTCTTGAGAAATGGGTGTGTTGTTATTTTTGGTCCCTTGGCTAATAATCAATAGTCTTTGTACAGAAGTGTGTATTATATAGTATAAATTAAATAGGAATTGGACAGTTATCTAGTTAATCTGGTTGGTAAAGACCAATGGTATCAAACTCAAACAGAAAGGGGCCTATTAAGCTGTCCTCACAGATGGATATTGACTTAGAAAATCACATATTGACATTACTTATGCTCTATTGCATATTTATGTATTTTGTTAAATATTTCCCAATTACATTTTAATCTTGTTCTGGACAGTTGCCTATTTGACACATCTGGTATAGACAAGTGCCTTAGGTGTTCAGTCTCTTGAAAGTATTGAGTGGCTATTAAGCCTGGGGGTGTTGGAGAAAAAAGGGTGAATTTTTGAAAACTTTTGAACTCTTAATGTATTTTCTTCTATTTGGTGCATTTTTAGAAATCACCTGAACCATTTCTAAACCTGTTCCTTGATTCGAGGTGCAAACATTTGATGGGGCTATCTCAACAACCATTTCAAAGACACCCTTAGTAGAATCAAGACAGTGATGGAGAGCAGTGAGCTATGTCAGTAGTCTCAGTGTCAGAGAATTCTGGCATTGCAAGGAAGCCACAATCTCTCCCTCAGTGAGGAATCAGCATTTACTTTGGTAGTCAGTGAATTTAATCCAAAGATAGCCCTAGGTAAGGATGGTTAAAAAATCAAGTTGGAAAATATGATTCATGAGTTCAGAATTAGAGAGGCCAAAGACTTGTAGATGGCAAAGAAGCTTCACATTTCTATGTATTTAACATTTTCTTCAATAAAATAATTGGAAGGTCCTAGATTTGGTGAGTAGTAAATAATATCATCAAATGATGAAATTTATTATATTTTCACATTCAGAAGGTAACTTGTTATTGATATAGGAATCCTTTCATTATCAATGGTTAGTATGTAATCAAACTACACTTGTTAGAGCAGTGGTCCAAATTAATAGGGCAACTAGATGGCACACTGGATAGAGCCCTGGCCTTGGAATCAGGAAGACCTACCTGAATCCAAATCTGGCCCCAGATGCTTACTAACTGTATGACCCTAGACTTAATCTAACTATTTGCCTCAGTTTCATCATCTGTAAAATAAGCTGGAGAAGGAAATGGCGACCACCCCACTATCTTTGTCAAGAAAACTTTAAATGGGGTCACAAATGGGGACACAACTCAAATGACTGAACAACAACTAAATTAGTACAAATATAAAAGAACAAAAATGAGAAAAAGATGGCATGCAATTAAAAGAATTCCAGTCTGATTCATTTAAACAACTTACTGATGTCAGACAATGATAAATGGTAGAGCAGAGGATATTGACACCAATTATAACAATTTTACCCTGAAGAAAATGGATGTGAAGCAATTGCCATAATAAGGATACCAAACCCTTGACCTCTGCTAAACAGAGATGGGGCAACCAAGGGAAGCACTGCTTTTAGAGTGTAAGCTTATTTAGGAAATCTTATGGAAAAGGATGATGGTGGATCATGGGCAGTCTGCTCCCTGGCGTATTGTAAGTGTTTAGTAAATGCTTGTTGAATTGAATTGATATTTTCATCATCAGAACACCCAGGCATGATAATGTGGCTCTGTTCCTGAATGTTGTCATTCTCTGGGCTTCAGGTTCAGTCATACTTCTTTTAGAAATAAGAGCCAGTGCAAGTTTAGAACAAATAGTGGTGAGACCTAGAGGTGGTGCTGAATACAACCCCAGTGCTATAGTGAGTGTGGTATTTGTTTCATCATTCAAGGGCTGTGTGTGTGTGTGTGTGTTTTTGAGACTGCAAAAATTTTATCTTCAATTTTTAACCCTTCAGAATTTCAGATGATTTTGTGACCCATTTGGTTTTGAGGGCAGGAAATATGAACCCAAAAGATAAAGAACTCTCTTCACAAAGACCATTCCGAATCTCCCTCGTGGCTTGTTTCAATGGTATTTTTCAGATAATAATTTCCCATTAACAGGAAAAACAAAAGTATGAACAATTCAACTCAATCAATATTTATTAGACCACTACTTTTTACAAGCTACTGAGTGAGGTGCTAGAAATATATAGAGAATAGATGGCACAGGCCCTGCACTCAAGAAGCTTACAATTTAATAGGAATCAATGCTGAGCTTTATCCAGTAATTAGCTCTGAAAGAACTGGGTTTTTTTTTTTGGAAGATTAACTTCCTTGAAATTAACTAACATAATACAGAGAATTAATTCTGTAATTTAATACCTCCTTTGGAGCTCTTATTTTTTCTGAAGGGAACCCTGATGACTTGTTCAGTGGCTTTTAGTTTGGGACCTAATTAAATTGATTTCAGAAGATTGGGGAGTCATTGAACTAAACACCAATATTTCTACTCTGGGTGTTTCTGATTAACACTGGTACTGCAGACACCAAAATAAAGAACAGTTTTTGAGTGCTAACATTAGTTAATTGGTATTAAATGGTCTTTCACTTATAAGTCCCGAGGCATATTTAAAAGTGTGCTTTAAAAAAAAAAACGGTGGAGTGGGTGAGTTGAGGATTCTCTTTCTTTACTATAATGATCTACAATGTAAAATCAAGGCCGTTAAACATTTTTTAGCTGTTGATCTTTTAGTTTTCACTCTAGGAGGTAACAGAATTTCTTCATTCCATTATAACTCAAATATTTCTTGTTCCACAAATCTTAATATCTGATATGTAGCCAAGAAGACTAAGACAGATCTTAATATGTCTGATGCGTAACTGAACAAACCAACATGGTCTTGATTCAATCAGGAATAATCTTAAAATGAAGAAATATACTTTTATGTATGCAAAGAACTGATTTGTTTTGTTTTAACCTGGTTTGGGCTTAAGAAACTTAAGTGCATAGCATCATATATTATGAGCTAACCTTTAGGAGAAGAAGAATCCTCTCATTTTGCAAATGAAACCTGATAGCCTTAAATAAGAAGCCTTGAGCTGTTAAGGGGCAGAGCCAGGATTTGAACCCAAATTCTCTTGATCGAAATCCAATGCTCTTCCACTTTCCTTTCTCTTTGACTCCTTAGCAAACAGAACGAGCTGGGTTGATGGAATTTCATCATGAGCAGTGCTGAGACTATCACCTTTCTCATTTAAATAAAAATGTGTTATTTATCCTTCAAATGTTCAGCTTTATATTTAGTATTTTTTTTCTAATTGTGATTTATCTGTCTTGTGAGGAAATGAATTCAGTGTACAGTTTTCGGAAGGTTACCGAAATTCACTAAAGAACAACTAGGATCTTTGCTTATGACTTATCATTTTTAGATGAATCAGCATTTTTGAGCTTGTACTCTTACCCTTTCAGCATTTTAGCATCCTTTGCCTCTGGCCTTTATGAGTCATGCTCTCTTTGAACAAGTTTAGCATTTGAAAAAATTAGCAAAGTTAAATGAATAGGTAACAAAAGATGGTTGTCATGATGATTGTTTTCATATTTGGCGCACAGTAGGTGTTTAATAAATGCTTTCTTGCTTTATATCATTCACAATTTAATTCCTTATTTTTTTTATTTATTTTTTCATTCATTTGAATCTTTTCCATCTGTTCACAAAGTGATTTCGAGGACAAAAATTATATTTTGGAGTTAGTTTTGAAGGAGAAGGGAAAGTATATAATTTGGTGCATGTTTAATGGGTTACACGTTCTTCCTTGCCCTATTTTATTATTCCCAGTCCATCAGTGGTTTGGCACCCAAAGGAAGTAGGTCAGTATTTCAATGAAAGAACAGTTCTATGCTGATGAAGGTATAAACCTGAGGAACCCAAGAACCAAAGTTTGTAACTCTTGATGCTGGAACTAGATTTAATCATTGTGTGGTTAGTGTTTGGGGATCCGAGACAAATTCCTTATGTTTTGTTTAATTTGCTTCTCCAGGTGTCACTGAAGTTATTCACCCAGACTTCTTGGTTTCTGTGGGATATTAATAGGTGAGTCAACGAAATTCCATTTTCTTTAGCTATTGTTAGTGCTTTGCAAAATGGTTGCATTTGGGGAATAGTTTAATTTATCGAGGATAGATGCTAATTTTCATCATTTCTGGCTCTTGCAGATTAAAGACCAGTCTTTTAAAAAATTAGGGCTATCAATGTCAAGAACTTTTGGTGAGGATGCAAGAATCCATATATTGCTGCCAAAATGAAATTTAATGCTGTCCTTAATCTTTAACCATTCTATCATAATAGTATTCTGTTCTACCATATTCTATTTTGATGCTTCAAAAGTTTTTTGTTTTGTTTTGTTTTTAACCACTTTTTAGGAACGCTCACCATTCAGGTTTTCTTGTCAGAAGGAATCTGAGTTGGAAGGGATGTTAGGGGCCATGTCATCCAACCATACCCAAGCAGACCCAAGCATTCTTTGAGCCTTTGCTTCAGTATGGGGGAACTCACTACCTCCTGAGGCCTCCGTTCCACTTTGGGAGAGGTCTAATTGTTAGACATTTTTCCTTACCTTGTAAAATCTGTGCCTTCCTAATTTCCTCCTATTGCTCCTCATTTTGCCCTCTGAGACCAAACAAGTCAAATCCCTCTTCTACTTGTCATCATTGTCCAGTTGTTTCAGTCATGTCTGACTTGTGACCCTATTTGGGGTTTTCTTAGCAGAGATACTACAGTGGTTTGCCATTTCCTTCTCCAGTTCATTTTACAGTTAAGTTGAGTGAAGTTAAATGACTTGTCGAGAGTCATACAGCTAGTAAGTGTCTGAGGCTAGATTTGAACTCAGAAAAATGAGTCTTCCTGACTCCAGGCCTGACACTCTATCCACTGAGCCACCTAGCTGCCAGCTAGGTGACAGCTCTTTAAATACTTGAAAACATCTCTCTTCCCAACTTCTAAGGCTTCTGTTTTCTAGGTTAACCATCTGAAGATGGTTCCTTCAACTGATCCTGATACTGGATCATAGATTTGGAGCTTGTAAAAACCTTCAGGGCATCTAGTCTAACCCTCTCATATTACAGATGAAGAAACAGGTTTAGAGAGAGTAAGTGACTTGCTCAAGGTCATACAGTGTGTAACAGAGGTAATATTTGAACTTAGTCCCTCTCACTCCAAAGCCACTGCTCTTGTTCACTGCACCCCAATGCCTCTGGTGTGACATGACCTCATGGCTCTTCGCCAACCTGGTGGCCTTCCTCTGGATGCTCTGTAGCTTATCGATGTCCCTCCAAAAATGCAATGACATCCAGAAGTGAACACAGTCTTCCAAATGTGGTCTGAGAAGGGCAGAGTCCATCAGAACTGTCACCTCCCTAGTCCTGGACATTTCGCTCCCTTTCATCCCCCTCCAACTACCCTTAGACTCTTTCATCACCAAAGAGTAAAGAAGAAAAACCAGAAAGGCCAAATTCCAATTTCTTAGTTTTGCTCCTTGATGACAACTCTTTCAAAAGGATTGACTAGGCACGAGCTTGAAACGGCCAACCAATAAAGGATTTTGGATTAAGCCCAGTTGGCTCTACTAGTCTATTCCTTATGTATTTGTGGAAATCAAGACTGAGAAAAGTTGTTTTTCCAAAGGACCCTTTTGGCCAAGATGTAGATCACTGTGGGAAAGGCCCCATTCCACAGAATGTTTTAGAATGAGGGAGGGTTAAGTTTCTGTAGAGAATTTAGACCAGCTCTAAGTTGGGGATGTAGGCAGGAATTATAGGGTCAGGAATGGAACCAGGAATTAATTAGCTTATTACATAGAAGTGATCTGTTTGACTTGGGACAATGGGAGGATATAAACTTTTTATTATTAAATTGTTCTATTGATAATAGTAATTTGTTCTTTTAGTAGTTCCCACTAAATGGTTTAGATTAAGTTGCTGTAGAGTTTTGGTTATATCAACAGATTTGAGTTTGAAGATGATTTGGGGTGGAGGATCATCCTACATGCTACTGACCTCCTCCATTTTGCTGAAACACTTCAGGACTGCGACTATATTCTCCCATGACCTCTATCCCTCTCTCTGCGCTTCCCTTGTTCCGGCCCTTTTATAGTAATTGATGGGTCTTTAAGACGCTCTTGTTATATGCAGAGTAAATATTTTGCTATCCTCATGTTTGCTCAGTGCCAAAATAATGAGGGTTATATCAGAGAAAATTAAATGCTCCAACTTCTCAGTTCTGTTGGTTCTTATTTGGGAATTTTTTTTTAAAGTCTGCCTGATTTGTGTGTTTTTTAACTAAGAAGCCATCCCATGGAAGGTCATTTAAACTTCAATCCAGACAGACTAGAAGGAAGAACAGTATAATTTACATAGTATTTATAAATAAAAGTAATATTATTACATTCAATTATGTGCTGTAACTCAAAACAGAAAAGTGAACTCTTATAGGCTTTCTACTTTATTTTAATGAATAAATAAGAATGGTTTGTAATTATCATATAAATGAGTACATCTCATAATACTAGAAATCCAAACCACTCTTCTGAAACCTTAATTAATTTGTTAATTTGCAGTATTGATGAAGAAATGTTTTGCTAAGAAAAAAGGATAACTCTAGTTCAGTCCCTGTCTCTAGTTTAATAAATTTTAAATCAGTAGAATTGATATTAATGAAATTATACCACACACCAGAGGTATATGATCAGGCTAAAAAAAAAAACCCAGCTTTTGTTATTTTTAGTTTTCAAAGTTTAAATCTGAATTGATGGGCGATTTAGATTTTGGGTCATAGTTTGGCCAAACATTACTTGGTAGAGACTTATAATATCTGATCAGTGAAAATAGCTTTTTCCCTTTACAGGTCACTAGTTAATCACATTTAAATTGAGAAGCAGTATGGTAATAATAATTATAGTCAATATTTGTATAGAAATTTAAAGGTTGCACGGTGGTTTACATATATATCTCATTTGTTCTTTGAAACAACCCTGTGCAGTAGGTGCTACAGATTTTATTATCCTTGTTTTACCGATGAAGAAACTGAGGCCAAGAGACTTTACTACAATCCAGCTAGTAAATATCAGACAAGATTTGAACCTAGTTCTTCCTTACTCCAGATTTATTGTTGTTCTTTAGTCCTGTCCTCTCTGTGACCCCATTTGGGGTTTTCTTGGCAAAGATACTGGAGTAGTTTGCCATTTTCTTTTCCAGCTCATTTTACAGATGATGAAACTGAGGCAAATGAGGTTAAGTGATTTGCAATCACACAACTAGCAAATGTCTGTGAGCAGATTTTGAACTCAGGTCTTCCTGACTCCAGGCCCAGCACTTTATCCACTGAGCTAGCTAGCTACCCCATACTCCAGATCTAAACCAGGCTACTTCCCAGGTGTAATCAGTAGAGCATTCACCTGGAAACCAGTCAGGGTGCTTTCTTTTCACAGTTATACCTCTGGTATTTTGTCTGATCTTAAGCAAGTCATAGCTGAAATTACCTTAATTCTCTTATTGGAGGGTCTTTATAATAAGAAAATGAGTCATAAGGAATGAATCATGTTTATAAAACATCATGAGATCTTTTAATGGAAATATATAATTTATGAATTATTCAGAAATATGCTATTTGCAAGTACTTTGAAGAAGATGAATGGAGTGCATAGCCTCTTGGTTCAGAACTTGTCACAGGAATAAGTAATATAGAAGCTGTTTCTCATGTTTAATCAATTAACACGTGTTTAAAGAAACCTTAAGTATTCGAAAGGGGAAAGAAAAATATTTAAATATAAGGAATAAATATTCCCTACTAAACTTGTTGGGTGGCATGGCATAATGTTTCGGGATATGGCCTTGAGCACAGGAAGATGCGGATTTTAGTACTGCCTCCGATGGTCAGAGAGACATTTATTCTAACCTCAGTGTTCTAAGCAGCTTTCTGGCTATCTGTATGTCTGTCTCTATAGGGTACACTTATACATACACATATACATACATATATTTTTCCAATTACATGTAAAAATAATTTTTAACATTCGGTTTAAAAATTTTTTAGTTCCAAATTCCCTTTCTCTTTCCCTTCCCTCCTCTCTCCTTAAGAAAGCAAACAATTTGCTGTAAATTATACACGTACAGTCATGCATAATATAATTCCATATTAGCCATGTTACAAAAGAAAACACAGACCAGAAAAACCCAGAAACCACCAAAACAAGAAAAATAAGAAAGTTCTTAAAAGTATGCTTTGATATGCATTCAAATTCCAGCAGTTCTTTCTCTGGAAGTGGGTAGCATTGTTCATCATTAGTCCTTTGGAATTGTCTTGTATCATTGTATTGCTGAGAATAGCTAAGTCATTCACAATTGATCATACAATATTGCTGTTACTATGTACAATGTTCTCTTGGTTCTGCTCACTTCACATTGCATCCATTCGTGTAAGTCTTTTCAGGTTTTTCTGAAAGCATCCCGCTTGTCATTTCTTATAGCACAATAATAATCCATCATAATTATATATCAGTCATTTTCCCCTTGATGGGCATCTCCTCAATTTCCAATTCTTTGCCACCACAAAAAGAGCAGCTATCAATATTTTTGTACAAATAGGTCTTTTTCCTTTTTCTTTGATTTCTTTGGGATAAAGACCTAGTAAATGTATTAGGCAGCTATCTAAAGACTGTAAGTTGCTGATATGTACTGATCTGCATTAATAGAGTTCCTTAATGCAGTGAAGTCATAGGTCCAGTTACTAACCCTTCTAAACCTAGAGTAGGTACTGTATACAGATACATATATGTACATATGTGTGTGTTTATTTATGATATAATTGAATTTAGTTAGTTCATGAATCCTATGATATATCATTAATGCTTTGTCACATTCTTCATCTTCCCCAGGTTTTCATTTGAAATATACCAAGTTGTCTCAAATCTATCTTCAGTGTTAATGACTGCTTGCTAAATTCTGAGTGATTTAGGTTTATGCACAACTTTTCAATCAACACTTTTGCCTTCTTAAAGAGCTCAACCTTAACTATATAGTATCGTGTCACTTCTGAACATTGCCAAATCTTTCACTTTGACTGTGATATTGCAGTAAGTACCCTGGTCCCCAGAATGAGATTTTATTTGTATCAGACAAGAAGATCAGCTCAGAAGCTCTCATTCAGGGGAAAATTACTATTTAATCGCCAACAGTATATCAGGGTTCAGGAACCCTCCTTACTATAGTGCCAGGAAAACCAGAAGATTGCTTCTGTGATGATATATGACACTGGAACAATTACAGTACAAGTATTTAATCCTGTCATTATAAAAGCTACATCTATGAGAAACTGTCAAGCTGTATTGCAATTAATATTAATTATAAATATTGCTACTTAGCTCTAAGTTCAGCCCTTGCCTTGTTTAAATCCATTCACAGTAACTGATGGGTCATGTGATAGGGACGATAAATATTTTGTTATCCTTATGCCTGCTCAATGCCAAAAGACAAACGTATTACTAGGCAAAGGAAATTAAATGCTTCTGATGCATCTAGTCCTGTGGAATCTTTCCAAAAATGTGCAAGCAGTGTCAATATTTCTGCATGAGAAATTGTCAAATCTTGTAATCATGTGTTAACTAAAGAATGACATAGATGATATATTTTTCTTTGCACTTCCCTTGAATAGAGACATAGCCTCTGGAATCAAACTATGAAAGGATCTTTAGCAACATTTATCTACCAGAAAAGAGTGATTCTACAAAGGACCTACCTATTAGTTGAAATATGAAACTGAACTTCTGAAATCTAAGACTAAAATTTAGTGTTCATTTGTATCGTCAAGCTTAAGGCATCTTTTTGGAGAAGATAACAAAAATTAAACATTGTAAATTTAATGGTATGTAATTTAAAGACAGCTATTTTAGATGACTCTTTTATATTTTTGATTACTTCTTTGAAAAGGTTCAAATGTTGGCTCTTGAGTTTTCATAAAGCCAATAGCTAACTGTCCCTTTGTCCCATCCCACCTACTGCCTCCTTGTATCTACTTCTCCAGTTGTGATTATGTTTTAAAATGCCATGGGTGGGGCAGCTACATGGCACAGTAGATAGAGCACCAACCCTGGAGTCAGAAGGACCTGAATTCAAATCCAGCCTCAGATACTTACTGGAAGTCACTTAACCTTGATTGTCTCCTACTACTATGGGAAGAAAAAAAAAACTATACTGGTATATTTCTTCTGTAATGTGGAGGGTTTAATTAAATCAGAGGTGTCAAACATACATGGGCAGCAAAACACCAAAGTGTATCTTGAACTAGATTAAAATGTAATTGAGGAAATATTTAACAAAATAAATAAAAATAGAATAGAATATAGATAATATTGGTATGTGGTTTTCTAAGACAACATATGGCCCTTAGGGATCCTTTTGTACAATTTAATGGGCCCTGTTTCTATTTGAGTTTGACTCCACTGGACTAGGTGACCTCTAATATTCCTTTATGCTATCTAGGTGGCACAGTAGATAGAGCTCAGGAAGACCTGAGTTCAAATCGAGCCTCAGACACTTACTAGCTGTGTGACCTGGTCAAGTCGCTTAACCTTCTTTTTGCCTCTGGGGAGGGAAATAGCAAAGCACTCTAGTATCTTTGCCAAGAAAACTCAATGAACGGTATTGACATGGTCCACAGGGTCACAAAGAGTCAGATATGACTAAACAGCAATATTCCTTTCTACTCTAAATCAATGATTCCATGCTACTATATCTCACATTATGCAATGAATATGCTCCCAAAATTGTATTGACCACCTTTTTTTAATTGAGTCATATTTTAAGCATAATTAAGAATTTTAATCAATGTAGAGAGATGAAATTTTAAATATCACCAATTTAATTAGGGTAAGGGTTATGAATATCACCCTAGATATAAAAGAATGGTGCAACAAAGCCTTTTGTTATATGAATAATCAATCACCTTTTAATTTTTTGTATATTAAGCACAGTTTTTTTTCCTTTTTAAAAATGCATTATTTCTTTATTTTTAGCAATCATATTTTTAAAGTTTGAGTTCCAAATTATTCCCCTTCTGCTTTTTTCCCCACCCACTGAAAGGGCAAACCATGTGATATTAATTATAAATGTGAAATCATGCTAAACATATTTCTGAATTAGCTGTGTTGCAAAAAAAAGCAAGAAAAATAATTTTTTTTAAAATTCAAGCATAGTTTTTTCTTAGAGCAAGGCACACCTGTACTTACCTTACTCTGAGAATGTGTGAGTATGTGTGTGTGTATGCACTCTCTAACTCATAGATCTTTTGTGTTCATAGGCTTATTCTCTGACCCTAGGCCATTTTATCTTTGACACCTATCGGTTTGAATGGGTGCTCTGGAAGAAAATACATTATTCCAATTGCTATTCACATTCGGCAGTAGAATTGATATGTTTGCCAAAGGAATATCTACGTGTCATTAGATTCATTACATTTAAGTGCTACTATACTAGACATTGGAGATAAGAGGATAATGGGGGATACAAAGACCTTGCCCTTGCTGAGCTTACAATATAATGGGGTGGGGGAATGGTGAGAAATCGATGCAAAAAAAACTAAAATGAAAGAGAGAATGTGATAATTACAAAGGAGAGGTCCAGGCAAATTATTCCTTAGAAATCTGAGGAAGAATGGATCATTTTTCATTTGGGAGACAAGTAAGACAGTGCTTCACAGATGAGGTGGTACCCAAGTTGGGCCATGCAAGGAAAGGACTTAAGCAGACAAAGGTTGACCAGTAAGGGAGGGTGGGACAATCTATTCTAAGATTGGAGAAAAGAGAATGTAATAAAAAGATAAGTAATACTATTCCTGGATAGCAGTAAGGGCCCAGTTGATCTTATATGGTGAGGGAAATTATTATTTTGATATTATATTAATAACCAATTATTAAATTAGGATTATGGCTTTTGTCCTTTTATTTCCTCATTTCAGGCCTAGCCCTTGTAAAAAAAAAAATCAATCTCTGAAGGACTTGCCTGACTGATGAGATTGCCCTAATCCTTGAGGAATATGCACCTGGATCTTAAGTGGGACCCTACTCAACTTGGAGACCTTATTTCTGTTTAGAGTGTAAACAGAATCCATTCTGGGGGAATTCTTGATTCAAGGAAATAAGCCCCTGTCCTTATGCCCTCCATTGGAGTTTAGGGTGACCCAGTTCATAAAGGAGAAAACTAACTAGAGTGGTCTGGATGGAGACGGATTCCTCTGTCCAGATTGCTGGAGGAGGCTGAGTCTTATGATCAAGCCACATTCTCAGCAGGAGGGGCTGAAGACTTTTTAGCCCACCTCCTCATTAAATGTCCAACCATTAGGGTTGATTTCCACTTGTCAGGGGCATTCCCTTTAAAAAAAATATTTAAGGCTTTCAGGTTCCCCATGTTTTTGTATTTGGTTTTCTGAGAGAAATCACTGACCATCAATTTTATTGATTATTATCTAGTCTAATTAATAAATTGATTATTAATTACCCAGAAACTCTAGTCTCTTGGGGTTTTTTATTCATTGCGATAGCGTATGTCTATAGTAGACCCAGCCACACATGACTTAGCATTTAACCAGATAGGGGTGGGTACTGAAAAACAGATTGTAAGAGCTGCCTATGGTTGAGGACTAATAGAGGAGGAAAGGTGGAAACTCAAAGGGGAAAGAAATTCAAGGGTGGAGGAGATAATGTCCTTGAAATGGTCGGGTCTAGAGAGCAAAGTGAGACCAGGATAGACTTGATGGACTGTGAGCGAATATAGAGACTTCAAGAGACCAAAGGCTCCCAAAGAAGGCAAAGAGCAGATATGGGAAGAGTAAGGGGAAGTAGAGGGTCTGGAGGTGATAGTTATAGTAGAGAATTTCAGAGTTTAAGGTCTTGGATGAAGGACAATTTCAAGAGATGGCAAGATTTAGGTTGTGACTATACTAGTGGGTAGCTGAAGGAAAATGAAGGTGGAGTTTATAGGAGTAAGAACATTCAAGGCACTGTGATCAACACGGCTATTGTAGGCTCCATGAGAATGGTGACCAGGATGGGATGGAAAAGAAAATGGAATCAGGGGCCAAAGTCACTGAGAAAGATGGGACAACATCCTGAAGGTCAGTGGGCCTGTCAGTGGACCTGACAATGCTATGGTTTCTCTGACTTTAAGTAGCTTTCTCCAGAGGGAAAATGGGTTCTTGTAATAATTTCCTTACCCCAAGGAAAGAGACTACTGAACTGTGAGGGAAATTCTCTTGGCAATATTGCTTCTGGCACTGGTTTTTCCTGTACTAAAGTTGGTGTTAGGTCATGGTGCTGTGTCCAGGCACAGAATTCTGATATGAGGGTATACTTCCTGTTTCAAAATTGCCACTTTGATGATCTGAAATTTGATAGTTTTGGGAGCAAAAATAAGGAGGAAAAAGAATTTCAAGCCTACCAAAATGTCTATTTTTGATGATTCCAACAATTAAACATTAATTCCTCTGGTATTCCTTCTGTTCAAAAACCATAAGTAAATATCCACTCCAGGAGATATTCTAGCTATGGTTGGCCTAATGGATAAAGTTCTGGGCTTGGCATCAGGAAGATCCCATTTCAAATCCAACCTCAGATACTTACTAGTTGTGTAACTTTGGGCAAGTCACTTAACCTCCATCTGCCTCAGTTTCCTCAGCCATCAGATAAGGATAATAACAACACCTACCTCCCTGGGTTGTTATAAGGATCAAATTAAATAATATTTTTAAAAGCACAGTGCCTGGCACTATCCAAATGCTTACTCCCTTCCCCTCTTCCCTTTTCATGACCTAGATCCCTTGCCTTGATAATTTCATCAAGCTTACCTCGAAATTACTCTTTGGTTTGGTCAGCTTTGACAAATTTTTCCATAGGGGGAAGAAGGTATTACTTATTCTTATGTTGACATGAAAGGTAGCTTGGCGTATGGATAGAGACCTTCAATCACAGCTCATGACCATAGGAAAGTCATTGAACCTTTCAGTGCTCATAGGTGAATCTCTAAGACTCTTGGTTCAACCTATATTGGAAGAAGGCATTTCCTCACTGAGGAATTCCCTATAACAGTGACCTGAAAGATCCAAATACCTATCCCTAGTTCAATACATTCAACATTTTGGAGGGTTCTTTATTAATGGTTGCCTTCAGGGTATACACAATTTATAAATTTAGATGTATTCACATACAACCCCTCCCCCAGCTTTTTCTATCCCTATGTCAGACAAAAGTAATTCTAAAATAAGGGAATAACCATAACAACTCAAATTTTCACTTGAAGATTTTCTCATAACAGCCCTATAAGGTAGGTAGTACAAGTACACTTAATTCTGGAGGTGTACATTTTACAGATGGGGAAACTAAAGTTCATGGAGGTTGGGACTTTTCTACAGTCTCACAGCCAAGAAGGTCTGGAAGGTGGTCCCAGGTCCCCCTCTCCAGATTCCACAATCTTTCTACTCTGTCAGGGAATAGATCTGAAAGTATTGAGGCCTTACCCTATGGAAAACTTTCCTGCTCTGTAAAATTATATCAAGAATTTCCTTACTGAAGCTTGCCTCCTTGTGAGGAACACTTGTTTAACATAATTTATCCCTTTTGGTGATTTCAAACACCAGAAGGAATTGCTTCCATGATTTTCTTTTTCTGTGCAATGGAAAGTTAGCATAAAAAGGATTTTCCCTTTTTGGATCATTCAACTCTTTGAGTACAAACTGTGAAAAAATGTTAAAGAGGACTTGGAAAGCTCAAATGCTCTTGGAAAATGTGACTAACTTTAATCAAAGTTCTATACACATAGCCTACTTGTGTTTGCTAGGAAATGGACATTTCCTGTCATTAACTCATTGCTTAGGTCATCAAATTTATGTAATGAAGACTAATGCTTGAAAAAATATGACTGAAAATATACTTCAGAGATCCAACATAAATGACTGAAATAAGCCAGTTAATTTTTCTCTATTTCTCACTCCCAGATCTCTGCTCTTTGAAATTTCCACATCCTCATTTTCAGTTCCCCTTCTTAGATGCTTTGTCAGTCAAATTTTCTCCTTAGGCTCACGGGATGAATGTCTGGAAAAAAAACCCCACAAAGTCAAACTGTGAGCTAAAAAACAATAAAATTTTGAGTTTGACTCCTGATTATACCAGGTCTGATTATCTGCAGTCCTTAAAGGCAAAGTAAGTGAATTTCAGATCCTCCCTTAAATACTTGACAGTTTTGGCAAAAAATTTGTTGTGGGAGAAAGCTAAAACCAGTAGCTAAAGATTTGGAATGAATAAGATTCCAATTATCCATTCTTATTCTTTTTCCTCAATTACTAGTGAAAAAGTAATTTTATAAGTGATTTACTTCTTATTATGTTGAAATTGTAGCTTAATTAGTGCTAGGCCCTGAAAAGCTGATTGGGAGGGGAACAGACCAATCAGAAAACAGTCTTAAATAGGAATCTATGGACTATGGTCTGAAGTCATTATCTTATTAGCAGTTGCCAATACCTTGTAAATTGACTAGGTCAAGACCTGTCTCTGGATCTTTCCAACCTCACCAAAATGTATTTCATCAAGAGATGACCTCCCTCCCCCCAAAAAAGAACAGATTTATAAAAGGTGTGTATTCTCCCATGAGGAACCAGATGCCAGACTTGTCTTACTTGAACCAGAATCCAAAGAAGAAATTGATCTAAGAAGAAATACAAGTTTACAACATGAGGATTGGCAAGTCTTGACCACCAGATGCTGTAATCATCATCATCACCATCATCATCACCATCATCATCATCATCATCATCATCATCATCATCATCATCATCTTCATGGCTTTCTGTCATAAAATGCAATAGAGTTTTACAAAATGCTTTCCTCACAACATTTCTGTGATGTAGGTAGTCCACAGTATTAATATTCCAGTTTCCCAGATTCAAAACACTGAGTTTCAGAAAAGTTAAGTGATTTGCCTAAAATTATACATTTAATAAGCATCAGAGGCAGTCCTCAATCTCTAATTCAAGTGCTATTTCCATTAAACCAGGGGCTTCTTAACCTAGGGTCCATAAACATTTTTTTAACATTTTGCTAACTGTATTTCAATATAATTGGTTTTCTTTCAATTCCTATGTCTTTTATGCCTTTTTTCTGTGAAGGGGTCCATAGGCTTCACCAGATTGCCAGAGGGGTCCATGAAACAAAAAAGATTAAGAACCTCTGTATTAGATGGACCATGTAATATGGAATATCACTGTAAACTAGCTAATTTTGCACCCAAGTCAAGAACAGCAAGTGCACCTCCTTTCCTAATGACTTAGCACATTTGAAATATGTAACATCTATTTTATTTATTTTGTTTTTCAAAAATTCATTTTGAACTTACATACATGAAGACCAAAAAAAGAACATTTTCATGTACACAGTACAGCATAAAAAGAGGATTCACGGGGTAGCTAGGTGGTGTAGTGGATAGAGCACCGGCCCTGAAGTCAGGAGGACATGAGTTCAAATCCAGCCTCAGATCAAACACTTGACACATACTAGCTGTGTGACCTTGGGCAAGTCACTTAACCCCAATTGTCTCACTAAAAAAAAAAAAGGAGGATTCACCATAAAACTATGAATTTACATTTCATACTGTTTGTAAACATTTATTTTAAATATTGTTCTGCTTCTTTCAGTTTTGCATGCCTGAGGCAAGTGTCTCATTATCATATCCTAGTTAAGGCTCTCATGTGGCATTCCGTGGAGAGCATGGTTCAAACACGAAGACTTTATCTGTGAGAATAGTTGCTCTTTAGTAACTCTACACTGGGTGGTGAGGAGGCAAGGTTCCTTATAACCAGGAGTCAAAGGCATCTTGTTCGACAATATTTGGCAACAGACTGAATGGATATGTTCAATGAATGATTGAAAATGGAGGATGACACTTGGATTGTGACCCATGGTAGCTGGAAAGATGGCGATGCCCTCTATAGTAATAGGGAATTTAAGAGGGGAAAAATTTTGTTTGAGGGAAAGATAATGAGTTCTGTTTTGGACATGTTGAGATGCCTATGGGACATCCAGTTAGAGATAACTGTGGCAGTATCTATTTGCTGAAATCTATATATTTTCTCAGATCTCCTTTGGATATAATGATGACCTGTGGGTCTTTACATTTCAAAGCAAAAAAAAAAAAATGTTTAATGTGGAGATTCTGGAAAGAATCCCCAATAGTGTCATCAGTCTTTCAGTCACCCTTGTCCATCAGCACTGCTTTTTAGCTTTGATCAAACAATCTATAACTTTTATTATTGATGAGATAACCTGTAAGTTATTATTCCTGTGCTTGGGATGTCAGATTACCTGTATAAGTGGGATTTTATCCTATTTCAGAGGCTTCCCCTGCCATACTAGAAAGGTCTATTGGAGTTTGACCCATTTGAGGACATTT